TGAATAAAAATTTACGGAGAATGTATAATATAAAATCCTCACACCACCTTGTAGATCCGAACAAGCCGCGATAACATGGGAACAAGAAAGTCATTGTTATTACAGTATATTGCAAGTGCGTGTACAAGTGCGATCCACTAGCATATAAACTTTGTAAGAGTAACTTTCTCTATGTGATATTCCCTCAATGACCTCCTATTCATTAAAATTGTATCTTACGATACGAAATGATCGAGTCTGCACAATCCGATCCGCTAATATGCCTTCAACCTTCGGCGCCAGCTCTGACGGGATATTTGCACCAAGTGTGCATCGTCTGAGAAAGAATTTATTAAGTCTATAATTTTTTTTGCAACTATTGACTGTATTGGCATACCGCGTGCTCCCCTAAGCATACCATTGAAACTCTCAGAAGCGTTAGTGGTCATCATACAAAAAAATTTCCCGCCATCTTCACATAAAGCCCACTTATCAACATTGTTCGGACCCAAACTAGTCTCGATCCAATCATGTGTAGCTCGTGAAATGAACTTAATCCTCTCTCGTAGTTGCTCATAAACTAATTTTTTCGTGCACATCCAGCTTGCCAAATAAGATCTTGAAGCTGCACTTTGTCCATGCTTCCTCTTGAATTTGTCCCTAATATGTCACAAGCAATAGCGATGTTGACGTGGTGACAAAAAATGTCGTTGGGGTGCTATTGAAATTCCTTTCATCCTATCAGATATGAATGTAATCGAGCGCGTTCGCACATTAGGGATATGATATCTAATGCATGCAAAAAACCATGCCCAATTTTTCGTGTTTTCAACATCAACCACTGCAAATGCCAAAGTAAATAAACCGCCATCTGCGTCTACTCCGGATGCAACAAGTAAAATACCTTTATATTTACCGTACAAATAGGTGTCGCCAATGCTAAGAAGAGGACGACAATATCTGATTCCCTCAATGCAAGGCGCAAATGCCCAAAATACACCTGTAAAGTGTCTATCTCCGCCATCAACAGGGTCTGATGATACTTCATACAATGTCCCCGGATTTTTTTCGAGTGCTTCAAGATAATGTGGTAAGATCTCATAAGATTTGTACTAATCTCTGAATGTTTTTATCATCGCCTTCCTCCGAGCATTCCAACACTTGTTGTATGATACATCCAAGTTGGTCGCTTTATACACTAAAAGATGAATATCCTTTGGCCTTAGATCAAGATCCTCCCTTAGTTTAGGCATAATCAATCGATATATGAAATAGGTGGACGCATGCTTATGATTCATCTCTAATCAAGGATTGTAACATGTGTGAAGTCCGTTGTAGTGTGTGATTTTAAATTACCCGCCTACTCTTATACCCAAGTGTGAATTAAGCTTCCAAGGATATTTTGTATTTCCGTCGTGATGCCCACCACTATCTTCTTCTTTGCTATCTTTACGGTAAAAACAAACTACATTATACCTTGTTGCATTGCTTTTTGTCTGCCTAAACTTGACATTTCTTTGGATGGCCCACAAACTAAGCGCATGAATCAATTTCTTCTTGCTTTCAAATAGATCGCCTTTTTTGAATGAGAAGTCATCGCCTTGTGTATCATCAACTACATTAGTGCCGATAGGAATACTTTCTATCGTGGAGTTACAATCCATTATTCTCCATGAAGTTCATCGAGTGGCAGATCCTCTAACACAACATACTCATTGTTAGAGTAACATCCGTGAATATATTGGTTGTCCCCTTCATCACGATCTATCAAACATGTCATGCTATTGATTTGTAAGCCATCCTCTTCATCATCATCCTCGGATTTGACACTTGCATTATCATCTTCTATCGTAACTCGTGTGGAAGGCATTATATCTTGATGGTGAGCGCTATCATCGAAGGCATTTGAAGTACCCACAAGCGATGGACCGCTCAAGTATTGTGACTATGTCCATCCTACATCTTGTTGTGGAGATAAAAAGCCGGCGGAGTCAAATTCAAGGTCTTCCAACATGCGAGAGTATACTCCGTCGTGATTCACCGATTTGCCCAGATTTTTGTGATGCTTTTCAATAAATAATTCCACCGAACGCTTCTCGTCATGTAATATTCCAATAAGACTCATATCTTAGTGACTTGAGATTTGGATGCCGCTTGTTCTGTTCCCCGTAACAGGATAATTACAAATAACGTTGATGTGATACTCACATGAATTGGTTAATGTAAGTTTGTGTAAGTCATTAACCAATTCATTGAAAATACATGATTTTGATATAAACAACGACTTTGTCACACCTCCTTCATATACATGCATATTATTCTCGAGATAGTTAATCTTTCCATCATATGAACAAAGAATTACGATTCGATCGTTCATCGTTACCTCTGAAGAGTAAAAAAATCCAATATCAATATTGCACGAAAAACAAAAAAATAATTATTTACCATTAAATCCTCTAATATCGATTTTAGACATCCAATTTTAACCAAATGTCAAACCTTTATAATACAATAACTTTTACAATTTTCGATAATTTTCCCTCTAACTTCATACACAAATTTCTTTAATTTTTCTTCACAAAATTCATAAATATTTTAAAATTTATTTCAAAATCTAAATTTAAACAAGTTATTAGCATGAAATAGTGAGAATATATAAAAAAATTAGGAGAATTTTTTTAAAAAGATTTTACCTAAAATTTATCGATGTCTTAATTTCCGGTGAACTCCGGCAGTGACAGCGGCAAGATCGATCACTTGGGTTTCGGGTCGGGCATGTTTTGTATATTTATATGTATATACCCGAATCTCTCTTTAGGAGGGGGTTCTGTAGGCTGTCTAAAAATCACAATAGATAGCTTATCCTCCATCAAACACCGATGATGAAAGTTACAATCTGACGACTTCCAGAAGGCTACAATTTGAAGACTTTCACGTAGATCGCTAAAGGTTACAATCTGACGACCTTCACGACAACCGATGGGAGCTCTAGTTCAACAACATTCACAATCAACATCGGGAGTTACAATATGACGACTCTCATATTCTCAAGGAGCCAAGACGAAGATTACAAGACAATGATCTTTGCAACGCTATGACAAAAGAGATTACTTTGTGATAATCTCTTCAAGACAAGACGCGGAGGTCCTCCCCGTGTGCCAACATCAAAACGCCGGGGTCGAACCCGCGTTACAACATCAAAACGCGAGGGTCGAACCCACGTTACAACATCAAAACGCTGGAGTCGGACCCGCGTTACAACAAGCGAAACGTGAGCGACCCTCGCGTTCTGGATGTTCAGTCAACACCCAACCTCGCGTCTCAATCCTAAGACGCGAGGTTAGGATCCTGAACGCCAACGTGGGCGTTTGACTCATTCAAATATGAGTCGAACGGTTTCAGAACCGTTTTCCCCCACGATCTGAGGAAGTCACGCCCACTTAGGAGCAGATTTAGAGGGCAGTTACACCCCCTTAATCCCCTATAAAAGCGAGTAAACTCAACTGAGTTAGGGGTTCGATTTTTCTTGGCTGGAATCGACCATTGAAGACTGGCTTTTTGGAGCTAAGAATTGGCAGCAACAGGGGAGATCATTGGGCGAACTTCAGAAGAGATCGGCATCATCCTTCAAGGAAGATCATCTTCAACGTTCGGCAACATGAGCTTCCTCATCCTTGGCTATTAATCGATTTTCGGTTTAAATCAACTCTTTTTCAAGAGTTAAAACTCGTTCAGAGTTATCAACTCATTCAGAGTTCTAAAACTTACCACACAAGTTCTCCACAACGTCAAATCGTGAGGAGAAGACATCGTTCCAGTGAATCAAGACGTGCGGATCGTCAACGGAGAGCAAACTCGACGCGAGTATTCGAGGGAGGCACTCCATCGCCACCGTGAAGAACCCAGTTTTAAACAAAGGAGAGAATCAAATTCGTTCTCTTCTCTTTTGTAATCAAGTTGTAATCGGAATCAAAGGAATACAAATCAATTTTCTTTGTTCTTTTCTTTGCAATTTTCTCTACAAACAAAAGATGGCGACGATGATAAGTCGCGTGCGTGGGTGGGCCTTTTACAGGCCTTGCCCCAACTTCACGGGACTTCAAGTCCCGTGGAGTTGCAGGCAAAAATTCTAGAGAGCGGTGCTCTCTGGAAAATCTGCCTGAAGCTTCACGGTATTTGAAGTTCTGTGAAGTTGGCGAAGCCACAAAACTTCACGGGATTTCAAGTCCTGTGAAGTTTTGGGCCCCCTAACTATTTTAATTATGAGTACTTAAACTTCAAGTCTCGTGAAGTTTTTTAATGTTTTTCACCAAAATCGACACAGTTTCAGCTAGTTGGCTGAAACTGAGTCGATTTTGATGATTAAGTTAAAAACAAGCCTATCAAAGACAAGTTGCCAACATCAAAAATATTGAAAATTTGTCATTCTAGCGTACTTGGCAATGAGCAGAACAGAATTTTCAACAATTTCAGAATCAAGCCTATCAAAGACAAGTTGCCAACATCAAAATATTAAATATTTAAGGCCCCGTTTGGCAAAGGGTTAATGAAGAGGGGTTAAAGAGAAGGATTAATATACTTAGCCCATTTGATAATCCGAAGGACTAAATTATTAACCCGTTAAATAAGTTTTATTTTAGCCCTTATGATCAGTTTTAGTGTTTGGGAATAACAATGATTTTGACTATTTTCTTTATAATTAGAAGGGTTAACTCTTATTCCATATAAATAGGAGTATTAGTAAACCCCTCATTTTGAGGGGTTAACTCATTTTAACCCCTCTAGAGGGGTTAACTTAACCATTCTATATTTTTTATGTTTGGCAAATTATGGAGGGTTAACTCACTTTAACCCTTATATAGATTTGTTGTGTTTGGCATGTTAAGAAGGGGTTAAGTCTCCTTAACCCCTCTCTTAACCCTTTGCCAAACGGTACCTAAGGGACTAATACGAGAAAACCCTTTTCTTATTGAAAAAAAAGAAAAGAAAAAGCAAGTATAAGATGTTACAAATCTCTCCACTCTGCTACATCTGCGTTCGTGCCAGCTTTGTTAGTTGGTATTGGCTCTTTGCTTTGCTTTGATTTTCTCCTGCTTCTGCCACTGCCGCCACAGAGAGAGAGAGAGAGAGAGGAGAGAGAGAGAGAGACTGGGAGCGGACAAGAAGGAATTAGAACAGGTTGAAGAAGTAGAATGTGAACATAGCAGTCAAATACTGGCAGAGAGCTCATTTTCTTAAGTTCTTTTCTTTTTTAATTTAAGAAATTGATTAAAGAGGCGAAAAGAGACGATCTTGGGGGGGAAAAGTTGCTTTTTCGCCTAAGATTTCTTCTTGGGATTAGAATGCCAATGGAATTTTGACTGTAATTAAGAGTTCAGCTGCTTCACTGAATCAAACTGCAGAATTCTGTGGGTAGTAGGGCTGCCTCTTCTCTGTTTCTGGAGCAGTGTTTGGATTTTGCATCTGGGTTTTAGTTTTCAGAGTCTTTTGGTTGGAGTTTATTAGCCTAAAAGGTGGTTCCTTTTCTCAATGTTTATGCTCAAGCGCCCCACTTCTCATCTGGGTTTTTGAGTCTTGATGCTCTAGGGTGAAGATATTTGGTGCCGATTGCTTCTGAAGAGATTTTGGTATATGGGCTTTTGTTTCTTTTTCAAATAATGAAATGGACAAGAGTTAACCTTGGGATTTTTCTGCTGAAATGGGTTTGTTCATAGGAACTTTGTGTGAAGATGGGCGTAAGAAATCAGTGGTGGTGATAATATAGCCGAAATTGTAGTGGCAATAACCTAACATGGAAACAAAATTTTCCCTCTTTTGGATGGTGATATTGGCTTTCTTGCAACTCTCCTCTGCAACTCTTTCACCTTCTGGCATTAACTATGAAGGTCAGTAGATCTTAAGCTTTAAGCTTTTCTCTTTTTATCATGGTTTTTTACATTCTATAACTGTGGGGATTTACTGACTGGTTGGTTTACATCCTGATAATTGTTTGAATAACAGAAGAATTCTTTCATTGCATTAGAAATGAAATACATTGTAGCGGACTTTTATTTCTTAAGCATTATTTGAACATTGTGGTCTTTCAATCTTAGTTATATATCAAAGTTTTTATTTCTTACATTGAATAAAATTTAAGCATAATTTGAACATCGTGGTCTTTCAATCTTAGTTATATATCAAAGTTATAAGAAAGTAATATATGTAATGTATTTGGTTTATGTTTCTTTACTATTAGTAACTGCAAGCATTGGAGGCACATTCTCTTACTTTTGTTATGGTTTGTTTATTCTGATAGCAAACTTAACCTTGAAAAAAAAAACAATGACTAAAACCCCCATTTTACCATCAAGATATCATTGTTTGTATGTACAATATAAGCTATATATTGTTTGCAATTCTTATATCCTATTCAGGGATAACTAAATATAAATTATTGTGCAGCCGAGTATAAGCCAAGCAAATACAATCACTTACAGCAAAACCTCCCTAGGAGGCCTCAATGTTAAGGAAGACGAAAGTGGTCTTTTAATTTAAGAATTTGGATTGATACCATGTTAAGAGAAGCTATCTCTTGTTATACATTGATCATTGAAGGGGGATAACATGCTTAATATATAGGCATATATAAGTATGTAGGATATTTTTAGAAAGTTCCATGAAAGGAAAATTCTGATGAGAAAGGAAAATTGTAATAAATGAAGTTATATGAAGGGACAATACTATAGCTAACACTGTAATACTAATTTCTTTCCTAAACTTAGGTGTCTGCTTAGGTAAACTAAATTTAAATTGTTTCAAACTATCTTCTATCTCCTTTCTGTTCTTTATAATGGTAACCAGCAAGTATCACAAGTTTACTTATATTTCCTCTTGCTAATGCAGTGGTGGCATTGATGGCCATAAAGTCAGAGCTAAATGACCCCTATAATGTTCTTGAGAATTGGGATATTAACTCAGTAGATCCATGTAGCTGGAGGATGATCAGCTGCTCTTCTGATGGATTTGTTTCTGTTCTGTATGAATGCACCATAGTTTACTGTTCTGAACTTTTTTTTTTTCAACAGAAAGGGAAGCTCTCATAATTCATATACCTCTATGATTTAGTAGTTATCTGAATTCTCCTCTCTTCTGATGCAGAGGCCTACCAGCCCAAAGCTTGTCTGGGACTCTATCACCTGGAATTGGAAATCTTACGAAATTGCAAGCTGTGTACGTGCCTCATTTAGTCTGATATTGAAGATTTATCATTCACCATACTTGGTACCTTGATTACTAAATACTGTGTTATGCACATAATTGCTGCATATTAACCATTTCCTGACATTAGTCATCCAAATTTTTCATGTTTTGAAATTATTCCCTCAAATTTTCATTTTTGAAATTAGTTCCTCAAATTCTTAAGTGTTTTGAAATTAGTCCCTTTAGTCGGAGGCTAGTTGGAATTGAGGGAATATTCCATCATTTTTAATATTTTCTGGTGTAACACCAGTTATACCCTTATGCATGGTGTTAATTATGGTTGATTTGTTGTTGTTTTTGGTTAAAAATTTCCCCTTCCTCATAAATAGAAGCGGGAAATGAGAGGAAGTCAGAGAGGGTGGGGGGATTTATTTCATGAGGGTAATTTGGTAAATACCTCTAACCATTAAGCCAACCATGACTAGCTATTTGGATGGTAAATATAACCGAGAGATTACTGATGTCAAACGGGACAGGGGGTCTATCAGAAATCAGAATCAGCGATTTAAATCGAATAATGCATCGTTTCACCAAATTCCATGATCTTTGGTAGGAAATTTAATTCAAAACAACTAATGTGACAGGTAGATTTAACGAAATTTGCATCAATAGTTATGATTAATTCCAACCTTGATCAATTTAGCTGCAATATTCATTATCATGCTCAAGTTCTACCATCAATATCAAATTTAAACAGTCACATGCTCAATTACTCTCAACTCACAAATATAATCTAAACAATGAAATATATGATAAGAGTTTAGAGATGCATTACTCATAAAATTAACTAATAAAACGAGATTAACAGAAAAATAATTTACTGGGCTATCAAGTGGTGACAGTCGACGGATAAACTGGCGACGACGGCTGTGGCGAACTGAGCGACGATGACGGTGGCGAACTGAATGACAACGAGGTCGATGGGGCTAGGGCAATGTGATGACTCGTGGGTAGGCGGTTGTGGAGGAGGGTATTAGGGTCGGTTGCTGTTTAGAAGAGGGAATGACGCAGGCGGTGGGCTGGGGTTTTACGATTGATGTAGAGGTGGCAAGGAGGCGGGGCTGGGTGTCGGGGCTGCTTGAGGATGGATGGGAGCAAGGAAAGGAGGCGTGGCTTGTGGGCTTGGTTGGAAGGAGGGCAGGGAAGGGAAGGTCGGCGGCTTGTGGAGAAAGGGGCGACGACTTCGTTGAAGGATGCAGGGAGTTTTGACAGGCTGTTTGTAGGTGGAGAATCAGGGAGGAGCGGCGACTGTTTGAGATGGAGTTGGGGGTTGAACGGGAAAGGAGGCAGCAACAAGTGGAGGAGGTGAATGGTTGGGCGTAGCTGCCTGGGGAGGAGAAGAACATGGCTGTTTGGAGAGGAGAAGTCGGATAGCCTGAGGAGGAGGGGATTAGGGGAGGGCGTGACGTTTTTGTGGGAGGTTGGCGATTGTGAAAGAGAAGATTGGCGGCTGTGAAGAGAAGAAGAAGATTCGGCCTAGGGTTTCACACCCGAGGCTTCACACCAACATTCAGCTTCACACCAAAAATTAGCTAACAAAATATTTCATTCAATTTTTTCATTATTCTTTCATTCTAATTACATCAGTGCTTTTATAGAGCAATTACAAAATCTCTCAAAATCAATCAGATTTCTCAAATCACTCAGATACTATAAACTGATTAACTTCTAAACTTGACCCAAAATTCAAAATTCAAAAATTAAAATCCTACCAAAATAGAAAAATCCCTCAAATTTCTCACAATTAAAACTAAATTAAGATCTGATTAAACTTACCAAATCTTCCTTATTCAAAACTAAAATAAAAGAAAGTCAAATAACAAATATGAAAATTGCCATTATTGTCCTCATCAATTACGTTCCAAACAATTAAAAGATTTGGTGGACGGAGTTCAAAATATGAATGATGGGGGGACTAACTTCAAAATATGAAAGATTTGCGAGGGACTAATATCGAAAAGTCTTTTTTTCACATTATGCCTGACATCTCAATTCTATTGGTCAAAACTCTATGGTAGATGTTCATGGATATAACTAAATTATGATTTTTGCGGAATCTTGTTCTTGTAGGCTGCTGCAGAACAATGCTATTTCTGGGCCTATACCTGCTGATATTGGAAAATTGGAGAAGCTCCAGACACTAGACCTTTCTAACAATCAGTTTAGTGGTATCATTCCTAGTTCCCTTGGTGACCTAACGAACCTGAATTATCTGTAAGATTTAAGTATATTAAGATAAAATTTCAGTCTTTACTATTAAAGTTTGCAACCTCCTAATCATAAAATCTTCTATTCTTTTCTGATTTGAGCATGACAGGCGTCTGAACAAAAACAGGCTTTCTGGACCCTTGCCTGATTCTATGTCCAACATCAAAGGCCTTACTCTTCTGTAAGTATTTTATCTCCTCATTTCATAATGGAAGTCCATCTATATTTCTTTTATATATGAATTTTTTGTAGGGACCTTTCTTACAACAATCTAAGTGGGTCTATACCAAAGATATCTGCTAGAACTTTCAAGTAAGCTTTCTTCCTTTCACTTTTTCATAATTGGATACTTATAGAAGCAATACACTGTTATTAACTCTTAAGGAAATATGGATTTGTCAATCAGCATCATTGGAAATCCTTTAGTTTGTGGGCAAAATTCAGTGAACAACTGTTCTTCCATCTCTCTAAACCCCCTATCTTTTCCACCGGATGGCATGAAGGGTAAGAAATGGTTTAAGTTTTGGTTGCCAGATTGATATTGTTGTCAAATAGAAAGCCTTGTAAAGCCCCTTTGATAATTTTATCGATAGTGACTATTCTAATTAAACGCATCTTGGGTTTCTCAGCTCAGCCACAACCTGAAGTAAAGAAAAGCCATTGGATAGCTATTTCATTAGGTGCAATTTTTGGTTCTATTATTCTAATAGTCATTTTTGTTGGATCGCTACTTTGGTGGTATAAGCGGCACAATCGACAAGTTTTCTATGATGTAAATGGTGAGATAATGATTTGTTTCTTCTCTATTTTCCATTGTTTGTTTGTGATTTGTCTGTTTCTTATAATTTAACACTTGACATGAATGCTATTCTGGACTAGGAAATATTATTTATGAACATTTCGTGGATTTACTTTCCTCTTGAATCGAAGGCATATCGTTTATTGACTGTTCTCATCATTCATTTGTCATTTATTTACTCAAGAGAGTTAAAGTTCTTATCCTTTTTTAATACCCTTGCATTATGCAAATGAAATTTGGAAGCAAGAATATGTCTTTGAAATAGTAGGGATATACAAATTCAGCGCAAGGAAATGTGGAAACATTACTCCCTATATGATGGAAATAATTAATGAGTTTTAAACAGAGGCATTTATGCAGAGAACCCCTCTAGCGTGTGGAAATGTATATTAACATATTAATCACCCCATTTTTAGTGAAATTCACATTTCCTGCAAACATCTTCAAAGTCTAAGAAAACCGTAATAAACTGAAAGAAGGTTATAGACCCTTCCTATACATATAAATATGTCTCAATTATTCTTGTTTTTAATGTAAGTACATTTGTTCATTCAGTGAAGGATCCATGCCAAATATGTGAATGGACATGCTTGATCACAATGTTATATGCATTAAATTTGCATTTCACCTCATGATGAAATAACACCAGCACCATTAGTAAACCATTGGTGTGTGCATGCTTTGTTGTATACAATCCCATTGTCAAGTTTATTACGTAGTTCAATACTTTTTCTACTTTGAACTGCGTTAACTTTACTTTGTTGAAAGTTGGATCTGTTTCTATGCAGATCAATATGACCCTGAAGTATGTTTGGGTCATTTGAAGCGTTACTCTTTCAAGGAGCTTCGTGTAGCTACAAATAATTTTAGTTCCAAAAGTATTTTAGGAAAAGGTGGATATGGAATCGTGTACAAAGGATGCTTGCGTGATGGCACGGTTGTTGCTGTGAAAAGGCTGAAAGATTATAATGCCATGAGCGGGGAAGTTCAATTCCAAACTGAGGTTGAAATGATAAACTTGGCTGTTCATCGTCATCTCCTTAGATTATATGGATTTTGTGCAGCTGAGAATGAAAGAATCATTGTGTACCCTTACATGCCTAATGGAAGTGTTGCTTCCCTATTAAGAGGTAATTGAACTCCGATATATAGGAGCCAACCATATCCAAGTAAAAGCAATCTGTCATATAGGAAGCGAAGACTATTATCCACAAAACCTCCTTGAATTCTGGTGGGTTTTGCACATAACCATCCTGAACATTTTTCACCGCACATAACTCCCCTAAACTGTGCAGTGTCTCACAAACCTCCCTGAAACATTATTTTTCCCCCCCCCCCCCCCCCCCCCCAGCCAAAAAAAAAAAACATCACACACACACAAGCGAAAAATAATAATAATTACAATTTTGCGCTTTCTCACCCACCCCTACCTGTAACTGGCCAAAATAACTTAAAATATGTCGTTGACAAAAAATTCCCATTTTTTGCCATCTTAGGCAACATATTCAAGTCTCCCCCAATGGAGGGTCCCCCCCCCCCCCCCCCCTCGAGTGCATTTTAGTTTGCTTCCTTCAGTTTAATGCATGCAGGAGGATCGATGAGAAAAAGTCAAAGCTTGGACTTCTAATTTAATTTATTTGGGTGGGGGGGTGGGGTGGTGGGTGGTAGTTTGTGGGTTGCGAAACCACCACAAAGCTTCTAGGGCCGTTACTGGTGAGATAAAAAAAAAGTTAGAGAGTTTACGCTGCCAAGACCTCAAAGTTTTTTGGCTTTTTTTGCGGCGTCGGGTCGGGGGGGGTGGGGAAGGAGGGGTCGGTGGGAAATTGACCCTATCTTTTATGCATCCGTTTTACTGAAGTGTCTAATTCACAAAAGGTTACTGTTCTCTTATTTCTTGTTTCTATATCTGGCAGAGAATGTTAATGGAAGACCAGCCTTAGACTGGTACAGACGAAAAAGAATAGCATTGGGGACAGCAAGAGGACTATATTATTTGCACGAGCAATGTGATCCTAAAATAATTCACCGTGATGTGAAAGCTGCAAACATTCTTGTTGATGAAGATTTTGAAGCTGTTGTTGGGGATTTTGGACTGGCAAAGCTTTTGGATCATGGAGAATCTCATGTAACCACTGCTGTAAGGGGGACTGTTGGTCATATAGCTCCGGAGTATTTGTCAAGAGGCCAATCGTCGGAAAAAATCGATGTTTTTGGTTTTGGAATTTTATTACTTGAATTGATCACAGGTCAAAAGGCGGTAGATTTTGGACGAATAGCAAACCAGAAAGGAGTGATGCTTGATTGGGTAAGTTACTAGTCAATTGATAAACTAAGTTCATGAGAACATCCATAATTTGGTTAACTATTATGTTATTTTGCAACACGTATAGGTATAAATACCTGATATTCATTTGAATGGTGAAATAACCAAAATCTGAGAATAATTCATAGAAATAACCAACATCTGAGAAGAAGAATATTTCACTCCCATAAATGGGCCATACACTTATTGTCATATTTTCAAGCAAAAAGAAAGGGGAAAAAAAATCCTATTCAATATTTCAAATATCTTACAGTTTTTTTTTTCTCCCCCTTGTGCCATAGAGTAAACAACATGTCAATTCCAACTTTGAAACCAAAAAATTCTTCTACGAACTGTTGCTTTTGCCAACATTATTTGCATCAAACTATATTTGATGGATTGTGGTTGATACAATCTTAACAAATTAGCTAGTACAGAATGAAAAAGAGTTGTGCGAATGGACATATGGTTAATCATAAGCATTTTGTATTGATGATGAATTGATGATAATATGGTTTGTCAAAGCATATTGTTAGTTGTGGAACTACATTTGGTGAATGGTAAATTTATTGAAAGTCTTGAAGATCTTTTTGGTTGTCGACAGAGAGGGAAAATAAAAATTTTAAAAAAATGTAAAAGCAACAGAAAAACAAAGGGAAACATGTTTTTGGTATTTCATATGTTGAGAATTAGAAAAGGAATGGAAGGGAGGTTGATAATTGACTTAAGTCAAATTTTACCTGGAGGTACCATACTAAGATTTTTTACGAGATCTGATCTTATCGTGCGAGGCCAAGGGTAAGCTTTTGAAAGAATGCGAGACAAGGTTCCAGGTTTGAATGCTTCAATAGTCCAGTTGAACTTCTTACCTGAGTGAACATTTCACTCCTTCAAGGGCTAATTGCACGACCTTTGTAATATTACCTTGTGACACTTATTACCCCTTAAGTCTGATATTGACAGATGCTCTTGGGGATTCTGTTTTTGTTTTTGGCAAATAGACCCTGAGGGTAAAAGAGTCAAAAAAATTCGCTCAGGTTGTGTATCAGCGAATATCAAATATAAAAAATGATAATAAGTGCCACAATGAAGTACTACATGGGTCTATGTGCAATTAACCTGATATAATAATAGGCTTAAGGTCGCATTGCCGACTCTTGGTTGGTTTTCTTGGTAACAGTAGTAATATATATACTATTATCCTTGTGGCACGAAGAGCAGGTTGTCTTGATATTGCATCATCATGTGCAGGTAAAGAAGCTGCATCAAGAGAACAAGCTGAACACAATGGTAGACAAGGGTCTCAAGAACAATTACGACAGAATCGAGATGGAGGAAATGGTTCAGGTAGCACTTCTCTGCACTCAATACAATCCATCTCATCGGCCAAAGATGTCTGAAGTTGTGAGAGTGCTCGAAGGAGATGGGCTTGTTGATAAATGGGAAGCTTCATTATTGCACAATAATACTGAAAACATGCCAAAGTTATCTCCTCGATCATCCTCTTTCGAGCCACAACCAATATTGCCTATTTATTTAGATTATGCAGAGGACTCGTCTCTTGTAGTCGAAGCAAACTTAGAACTTCCTGGACCGTTAGTTTTATTGTTGCTGATAGACCCCGAATGATTTTTTTGTTCTTTTACCCTTGAAAATAAGACTTCTAAAAGTAAAAGAGTAGAAAATTTCACTTAGGAAGTCTATCTGCAACAATGCACAATAAAACTAGAGGTGTAGTAAGCTCCAAGCAGTGACAAGGGAAAAATATCAAGTGAGTTTTGGTCTATGATATTAAATGTGCACCGAATGAATCTCAGTCATTTGATCATTGAATTTTTGGAATTCGTGCATAGATTTAAGGGTTGACATTCTTTCGGTGCACATTAAATGCCATAAACCGACACTTTTTCAATAATAAGTGGGATCTATTGACAATTAACCCTTTTTCTTTAGCGGCCACAGTGGCCTGATCTTGGTGACGGTTGGTTTCATGCATTCTTTTTGTACAAAAACAACAGTAATCAATAGGGTGGTTGTTATGTTCTTCAGTTGTGATGAATCCCATGCGTCTCCCAAAAGGGTACTAATTGTTACTATTTTCTTCTTTGGTTGTGATGAATCATATGAATCTGTCAAGAGTGATGCTACATTTCTTATACTACATTTGAACCAATAGAAACTAACATGTGGATTCTCTCTCAAATTGCTACCAAAATTTACGAATCATGAAAGGTCTCACGCTTTAATTTCTTCGTAGTATTAAACTGGTTTAAAATTTGTAGTCAAGTTAATCATTATTTATTTCTAGCTCTTCTTTTTGAGGTCGGGTTCAGAGGCGTTGAGCTAATCCGTACCCGTTACCATCCATGAAGCCATTTGTCGGCGGCCAAAACTTTATACAGGATCGCATTAATTAACATGTTAAACAAAGTGAAAATGTCTGCTTTCCCCCGCATTTTCTTTGCCCTTCGGCTGACTTGAGCGAAGGTGTCTGTATTTACTCCGCCATTTAATGTCGTCGGTAGGCTAATAACAAACTTGTCGGCAGCAAAGAACAACAAGAGAAGGGAAGTTCCTTACTCTTAGCATTGATTGTGTAGCTTATCTATGTATTGTTAAATGAGCTTTGCTACAGGGACCCAAAATGTGAGACCAATAGGGAGGACAAGTGAGGTGTCCCTCTCCTATTGGATAATGAGTTGGCCATCATTAATGATGGCAAACTCATTATCTAATAGGAGGGGAACACCTCACTTGTCCCACCTATTGGTCTCATATTTTGTGTCCTTGAGGAATTTTTCTTGTTAAATTAAGTATTGGGTATTGGGTTAATGGGTTATTACCCGTTAACCTTAACCCTATTTGTATGACTATATATCTCTCTCTTATTATCTCAATAAACAAATTTGAATTAGGGTTTTAACATGGTATAGCAAGAAACCCTAGCCGCCTCATCTCTCAAACCCTAGCCGTCGCTCCATTTCTCAAACCCTAGCCGTCCCCCCTACAACCGCTGTCCCACCTGCAATTTGCTGCAACACCCCCTGCC